TGCAGGTATGAAGAGGGCTCTGGCTCAGGGACTGGTGAGCGATGCCAGCTTCCAGCCCTCGTGCACAAGGGGCAGCCTGTGGGGCTTGGTATTGGAGCCTGAGCCACATCCAGGTCTTGGCTGGTTGGGCCAGTTCCGTGGCTGTGCCATCCAGGAGGCCCACTGGCACTCTTGCTTTCTTCATGTCAGTTCTCCCGTGGGCCCTTCCATGTTCCACCCTTGCAGTGGCCGGGATGTCTGTGCCTCTGCTTTCTGTCTTGCTCCGCACCCGCCCTGTGTAAGACCCCTTAGGCCTCTGATGCTGCTCCCGTGCCCAGACAGCCTGCTTTCTATTCGGCCATCCCCTCAGAGTTTCCTCTTCACTTACTTCCACCCCTGGCACCAGCGTGATCCATTCTCTGTTCTGTGTGGGTGGCCTCTTACAGTCTGAATTTTCTTGGTCATGTGAAGGTGTTCTTGGCTCTTCCAGTGTTTCTCAGCCCCGTGGTGACCTACAGTCCTTCCTGCGTAGATCAGGGTGTGAGTCAGGTGGCTCCATGTGAAGGCGGCCTCAGACCATCACAAATGGGGGTGATTGGACACCTGTAAAGCTCATGTGAGAATGCTGAGATTTGACTTTCATGTCATTTCTGCACTGTGAGTGTTTGTTTTGTTTTTGGTACCAGGGATCCAACTCAGGTCCTTGCACTTGTGGAGCAGGTGCTGGAACCACTGAGCTAAATCCCCAGCCCTGCACCGTGTTTTGTTTGGTCTGTTCACTAGCTGTTCGAAAATGTAAAAGTCATTATGATCTCGTGGGCCACAGACAGGCAAAGGCCCACTGCTGCCCTTGTTCGTCACTGTCCCTCCCTTCTTCTGGGCTTGGCTGTGCTGCATGCTGACCAGGCTCCTGTCCCCCCAGTTTACCTGTGTCCTGAAGAGCTCAGGGGTCTGTGGTTGTGTTTTTCCCAGGCCACTGTCACAGCTCCGCAGCTATTCTGGGCCTACTCGCCTGTTCTGGAAGACCCTCCATTGCTCCTGGTGTGGGGTCCTAGAAATGTCCTAGTCAGGCCCACGTGCCTACTCATCCTTCCTCGTCGAGCTGTCTGGAGGGGGCAGTAGCATGACTGTGACAGTGCCACCTCCCCCACACAGCCTGACTGATGCTGTGCAGGCAGTGCCATCCTGTGACGCCTCAGTCCACTCCTATGTCAGGTCCTGTTGTCTGGAGTTCTGCTGGAGCACATCCTGCAGAAATTCGCAAGGGCAGATGCACAGGAAGACCTCTGAAAGGAGGACCCCACATTCTGAAAAGACTCACTGGGAAGTTCCAGAAATAAACGGTTCTTAGGTTTCAGACGGTGACCCCCGTCCTGGCCACAGGAACACAGCCATCATGTTCCACTGCCTCCCACCCAGGACATGAATTCACCATCCATTCATCCAGTGGGCCAGCATGGGGCACACAACCTGCCTGGGAGTCACTGCATCCTGTCTGCAGACAGCCCTCGCCTGGGCATCCCCACCTGTCCTGTCACAGGGCACTGTCACCTCCTGAAAAGGCAAGCACAGCAGGAGAGACAGGCGGAGGGGGAGAGAGGGTCCACCCCTGCCCAGTCATCATCACACTGCCCTTGGTTCTGGTGTTGGTCTCCTGCTGCGCCTGCTTGTAACCTTGGCGCGGCTGTCTAGAAGGATGTACACTGTTCCTTAGGGTCAGCCCTCTGCACAGTGTCAGAACACCTGGGCCTGGGCAGGTGGCCTGCAGATGAGGGGCTGCTGTGGGCCAGGCATGGTGCAGGTGGTAGTGGAGCGGGGACATCAGTGGTGCTGGTGTTGGAGTTAAGGGGCTGCTGTGCCCGGAGGCCCTAAGTGGAACACAGGTTGGGGGCTGCAGCGTTGGCCATGGCAGGCAGGGCACCAAGGCCAAGTGGAGGCCTGGAGAGGGTCTGCACAGAGGGTTGGCATGGAGAGGTGTGGAGAAAAACCCAGGACTGTGCTGGACACTGTTGCTGGGAAATCTGCAGAGCTGTCCAGATGGGGTGCAGAGTAGGCACTAAGAAGCAGGCGCGGCTGGCTGGGGCCAGAAGCATCGAGAGTAGTAGGATTTAGAGTCATGGCACTCAGGCTCCGAGACACGTCAGCCAGACAATTCAGAGATCCAGGAAGGTAGGCAGCACTGGGACTTGGCTTGGGGCAGTTCAGGACAGCCATTCATGGCTTTGGGAGCCTGGGGAGTGTGCAGATGAGCCGATTCACCGCTGCCTCTCGGATGCTCCACAACAGGTATGTGAGAATGTTCTTTCATTAATGTCAGAGACATGCCTTAGGGAGGTGTGGTGATGCGAGCCGGTCATTCCAGCACTTTAGGAGGCTGAGACAGGAGGGTTACAAGTTCAAGACCCCATCTTAGAGTAAAGATGAAAAGTGCTGCGGTTGTGGCTCCATGCAGAGGCATGGGTTCAATCCTCTGTACTGTCCAAAAATAAAAAAGTGTACGTTATTTCCCACCATAGATCTTAGAAAAGTAGTTGTTTATCCTTAACACAGACACAGGTTGCTTATGTCCCTGAGCTGGCCCTTAAGAAAAGCAGATTTTCTCAGACCCTTAGCAGGAAGCTGGTGAGATAGAGGGTTTGGGGAGATGATGATCAGTGGGGAGGAGGTGGCAGGGCTGGGTGCTCCAGGTGCAGCCAGAAGCTTCCATTCCCGAGCTGGCTGCTCCTTAGAAGACAGTAGGCACTGCCAGTGTCTGCCCTAGCTGTGCAGTACCCTCAGGCATCTTTATTGGAGAGCACCACTTTTAACTCATCCAGTCCTAGCTCCGGCCAGGCACAGCCCCACATGCCTGTCATCCCAGCCATTGAGAGCTGGGCATGAGGCCCAGAGTTTCTGGGCCCTCCTAGGTGACGTAAGAACCCCTGAGTGTGGTAAATCAGACAAAAACCCCAATATTGCATGATTTCTCTTATATGAGTCCTCTGGAAAAACATGCAAGTATATGTTTCTTTTTAACTGTGATTCAGTTTCCTCTTCAGGTACAGTTCTGTTCAGATCTGTTTTTTGGTGGTGTGTGGAGGGGTGCTTTATTTGACAAGGTTTCGCTATGTAGTTCAGGCTGATCGTGAACTCACTATGTAGCCTAAACTGGTCTCAAACTCCCAGTGACCCTCCTGCCTCAGCCTCCCGAGTACTGGGATCACAGGCATGCGACACACTGTGCCGACGGTGTACAGTTCTCTTTTGCATGTGATTACAGTGTCACAGGAGGAGGGTGGGAGGTTGCAGAAGTGCAAGTGCAGTGACTTATCCACTGGTGGACACAGCTCCTCCGTGCCGCTGTACAGGCACCCACTGTTCTGAGAGCATCGCCTGCCTAGGGCCCATCTAGGAATTGTTTTCAGGTCTGGGCTTTGTCTCCTTTCATACCTGGAGACAGCCTGTTTCTTGCTGCAAGCTCCACTGTGCATTTTGTACCTTCTGTTGCATCCAGATTTTTGAGCTGTTAGGAGTCCTGGAGACAGAGCCATGTCCCTCTGCAGAGCCAGGGGTTCCGACAGCAGGTCTACACTGCACAGCTGCACTTTGGAGGGAAAGCGTTGTGTTCACTTGTGTTCCCTGCAGAAGGCGTTGGGGTGGCGCTGTGTGCCTAGTAGTTAGCTTATCTTCATTACAAGCTGCTTTCTTTGCTCCTAGGACTGGGATGCCTTGTTTGCGCTATAATTTGAATGTCCTGGAGTTTCAATTTAGGACAGGATGGTGTGGATTTATTTTCCCTGCTGAGATGTCAGGAGTGGGTCCCCACCCTCCCAGAAACACCAGAGCCCTGTGAGGGCGGGTATGGGGCCACAGCTCCTCAGTGACTTGGCTTTCTCTTCTGAGGAATATCAGTGGCCCCTTGATTGTTTGCGGGGCAGGAGGAATTCAATTCTGCCTAGGACAGTATATCTTAGAGAGGGTATTGGGCCACCTAATTTTCCCAGTGGAAGCCTGCACTTGAGCCCTTGTGTTGCGTGGTCTAACACTGCTCAGCGCCTCCCATGCACAGCACAGCGGTGCTGTGGTCTTGCGATGCCCACGAGGCCTGGAGCACTGCTGTGTAGGGAGAGTGTGGGACTGCCTGGGGTCAGATCCTGCTCTGAAGTGTTAGGACGGTTCTGTTCCTGTCTTCCCGGTACCTGTGACAGCTAGCCAGAGTGACAGCAGAGGGGCCGACCGTGTGTTCTTGGTAAAAGCAGTGGTGTTAATGGACCTGTCATGCTTCCCTGCCTAGCTTGCAGGGTCTGCCTATTTGTTTCAGTGTTAACTGTTTTCAAGTGAACCAAGTGAAGAAATACGTACGGTTCCTTCATTGGAAAAATCCTTTTGCCGGCCCATGATGAAGGGGAAGTTAGACTCTCTGTAGCCAGAACTCCTGCCTATCTGCAACAGGATTACAAGTAGAAATCCTTGTTATGTCTTTCAACCTGTACTTGGTGCTTGCTGGTTTTGAACATTTTCCAGAGAGGAACTGTAAAGCTTTTGGGACTGTTGACTATTAGCCAGTGCACAGGGACCTCCCAACCCTTGCATTTGTGCTCAAAGTACATAGAAGCTGTGTGTGCTGCTATTGAGGACAGGCAGACTGGGTGCCGGCGGTGACTGCACGTACAGTGTGTCATGCAGGGCAGTGGTGACAGAGCACAACAGTGTTGGCTGGTGCCGTGGCTTCTGTGGGAGGTTCCAGAGGATATGGGGCGGAGGTAGTGCCCTTGCAAGCCCACATGAACCCCCGTCACCTGGACCAGCTGTGTAGGAACAGGGCAACTGGTGGCTCCCAGAATGCCCTTCCCCCAGCATGTTCCAAATGGGGAGCGTGATCTCAGGAGGGCCACTGTGGCATAGGCTTTGGGTGTCCCTGTGCCCACTCCCTCATTCTTGGAGGCCGGGTCACTACTGTTTGCTGCTGTACTGTGTCCTGTGTGGGCATGGGAGATCAGAATCCACCCTGCTCTTGCTCAGCCACCCTGCTGTCCCCACAGCACCTGTGGCAGCCATGTACTACAGCTACTACATGCTGCCTGATGGCACCTACTGCCTGGCACCACCACCCCCGGGGATCAACGTGGCCACCTACTACAGCACCCTGCCTGCCGGGGTTACCGTGTCCAGCTCCCCTGGAGTGACGACCACTGCACCACCACCTCCTGGGACAACACCGCCACCACCCCCAACCACCACTGAGACAAGCAGCGGAGCGACCTCCACCACCACCACCACCACCACCACCACAAGGTACATGCTTGGGCTGGGCCCTGGGACCATACACCACCTCCACCATCAGAGCAGCAGCATTCACATGCCCCCATGTAAAAGGCAAGATTGACCAACAGGAAGGTTCTCCAGAAGCTAGGCATGTCAGTGCTCTCCTATGATCTCAGCTACCCAGGAAGCCGAGGTGGGACTGTCAAAAGTTTGAGCCCAGTTTAGGCTACTTAGTGAGACCTTATCTTAGAGAGAGAAAACTGTTTTAGCAGTGAAGTCTGGCCACTTGAAAGCATAAGTCTCTCCTCACTCCCACCGTGCTTCTGTGCTCCAGGGCTGTTCTCATCTAGCCCCTCACTGGGCAGGGCCCTGTGATAGAGCCCACAGTAGTCAGCAGAACACAGGGTCCCTAAAGCCGGGCACCCCTTAGTTTATGAGCCATGTGGTGGCAGAGTGAGGCAGTGATGGAGATTCAAGAGTGCTCAGGGCCCACAGGTGGTGCTGTGTCTCCTGTTCAGCAGAGGTTTTTGGGGCAAGCCAGCAAAACACCTAGATGCCGGGCCGGACTGACTTTGCCAGTTGTGCTGAGAAAGACAGGTAGGAAGGGTCTTGAGTTGTACTGCATTCTAATGCGACAAAAAATTGCCAGGTGGCCCACTCGGGGTTATTCCCAAGAGGTAGCTCTGGGTGGGAAAATGTTCACTGGGCTGAGACTGAACCTGCCCATTGCTCCTGTAGTCCTGCTCTTCTGTACAAGTCCATTGTCACTGTTAGTGGTGCCCTGGCCTTGTTAGTGTTGGGGACCTGTCATCTTCAGAGCCTCCCACAGGTGTCATCTTTGACCTTCCTGTTCCTATGGCCACTGAGGCCATGAAGACACCAGCAGCCAGCACTGGGCTCTGTCCCTGCTGGGTACAGGAGGTAGGAGGTGGCTCACCACACTCTTCCCCACAGTGCTCTCGCTCCTGTGACTGCCATCATCCCCCCGCCCCCTGACATTCAGCCTGTGATTGACAAGCTGGCAGAGTACGTTGCTCGGAATGGCCTTAAATTTGAGACCAGCGTTCGTGCCAAGAACGACCAGAGGTGAGAGGAAGAGTTTTACGCACTGGGCTTGGGCCTGATGAAGTGGTAAAGCACTGATGTAGCATATCTGAGGTCCTGGGTTCTAGTCCCAGCACTGAAAGGAAAGAACTTTTTAAGCATGTTGGGTAAATGTGATTTGGGGTTTTGTTTAGCTTTTTTAAAAATCTGAACAAGTAGCTGGACACACCTATAATCCCAGAAGTCTGGGAGGCTGAGGCAGAAGGATCATCTTGAGTTGGAGACCATCCTGGGCTACCTAGTGAGTTCAAAGCCTGATCTACATAATGAGACCCTGTCTCAAAAAAGAAAGTCAATCCCCAGTATCAAAAAAAAAAAAAAAATCCAGCCGTGTAATTTCTTTGTGTTTTTATCTTTTTCTTGTTTCAGATGTCTTTAGATAAACATATTTTTATCTTGTTAAATTACTTAAGAGTTGGAGGGGTTTCAGCTGTGAAATGAAAGTGTGGATGCTTCCAGAGATGAAAAGTTGCTATTCATACTTTGTAAGGATCCATCTGAAAATCTAGGCACAATCCTCTCTTAAAAAGTTAATCGTGGGTACTGGGGATTTAGCTCAGTGGTTCTGCCACCTGCCTCACAAGCATAAGGTCCTAAGTTTGATCTGCAGTACCAAAAAAAAAAGTTAATCATGGTCTGTGCTTTTTGAACATGCATCTGCTCCACGTCGTGACCCGTGCCTCAGTTTCCCTTGAGTGTAGGGTGCAGCTGCAGTTACTGCCGAGCGTCCAGGATGTGGCTCTGGTGGCTCCCTTGGACCTCATGCTGTCTTCTGAGTGCTCTGCTCTCCATCCACAGGTTTGAGTTCCTGCAGCCGTGGCACCAATACAACACCTACTATGAGTTTAAAAAGCAGTTCTTCCTCCAGAAGGAAGGGGGTGACAGCACGCAGGTACGTGTCCAGCCTTGGGGCAGAGGCCATCTCGAGACCCTGTGCTGTCAGTGGCTGAGGGGCTCATCTGGCCAGCGCTGCCTGCCACGTCCCTGGCGTGTACTATCCCCACCTCCCAGAATGAGACCTGGGCTGTCTCCACTGCACCATCCCCACAGGGTCACAGTGTACTGGGAACTGCTCGTCTCATGTTCCGAACATGAAGCTCCCGTTTCTTCATGTACTGGTCATCTTGGCTGCCGGCTTTGTGCGGCTCCTGTGGACCAGATTCGAGGACTGTGCTTGTGTTCACTGAACAAATGCCTGAGCGGACACTGGTGCTGTGTGCTGAGTGCCAGGGCTGCTGGCTGCCAGCTGCCAGCGTGAGCCTGTGCCTGAACACCGCTACCTGCCCAGCCCTGTCAGCAGTGCTTTGCCGTGTCTGTGCGTGCAGCAGCCCACCCTCCACCTTCGCGCTCCTCATGGCAGATACCCTGATGTTCACTACAAGCTCATCTGAGACATGGAGGCCCTGATTATCAGTAATTTCTGAAAGCTTTATCTCCAGTTGCTCAAACTGAAGGAAATTGACCCATCAGCAGGCGCTGGAGATGATTTAGGATTCGGAAAGTGCCCTCCGTAATCAGGCTCCCAAGGAGAGGCATTGTGGCCTGATTCAGGGCCAGCACCTGCAGCGTGGGCTCTTCCTCTCCTCCTGTCTCTACATCCCCTGAAAGGCAGAAGTGCCCTGGGTGATAACATGTGTTTGATGTCTGATCCCTGCAGCCTGTGTCTGCACCAGAAGAGGCACCCTCAGAGGCCGCCTCAGAAAAGCCAAGTGACGCTGGGGAGGACAGTGTGCCTGAGGACACCGCTGAGGCAGGGGGCAGAGGTGGCCCCAGCGGGAAGAAGGATGCATCGTCCAGTAAGGGTGCAGTGGACGGGAAGCTAGTGAAAGGTGAGTGACGCACCCTTGGCACAGGGCAGGGCAGGCTTTGGCCCTGTTGGTAAAGCTGGGCTGTGTTTACTCAGAAATGTTTATGAATTTGCAATTATGGTTTCATCCCTTGCAGACCTGTGCAGACAGTGGCATGGGGAAATGCATATTCTTCCTTGTCAGGATCCTGTGAGCCCCTCCAGCAAGCAGTGCCCACACTTGCTCTCTCCCTGTCTTAGCCACCCTGTTCTGTCCCAGGGGTTGGTGTGTCAGGGGCTACTGCAGGAAATGCAGAAGAGCAGACGGTTGTCCGTTAGGAAAGAGTGGGGCTGTGCAGAAAGGTGTCAAGACCTGTAGGGAGGGGACACAGCTTGGGTGCTCAGTGAACTGGACGTGATGCAAAAGTGTACACAGCACACAGGGGGCCTGTTGGAGAGTCTTGGTGGCACAAGGACCTGGGGGAGAGCTGCAGCAGGAGAAGAGTGAATGGGCAACAGCACCTGCCTTCAGGGGGGCCTTTGTGGGGAACCAAGCTGTCGCAGACAGTGACTGTCCAGAATGATTCCTGAGCACATGCATTCATCTCCTGCCCTTCCCGGCTCTGGTGATGGAAACCCAGAGCCAAAGACCAAGTAAGGGGTGGCTGGAACCACCACAGCAGAAACCAGGGCAGGGCCACTATGTGGTCAAGACACTTGGCCCTGGGACTTGGTTCACAGGAAGGGAAAAGATAGCTTGGGATTCAGGGACATTGACCGCAGAGAGCCACTGTCAATACGGAGGGTGTCAGGCAGGATGTGCTGGGGACACCCCAGCGGCAGTCCCCAGGAAGGCCCTGCACTCAGCACCTCTGCCAGCTCATCCTGCAACCCGGCAGGGGAAATGCGCTCAGGGTCCCTGTGCATCTTCTGAGCCTAAGGTTTGATCGACACAAGCGGAATCCCTGAAGCCCATCTGGAGGGATGGGAGGGATGTTCTCATTGGTAACCTCTGTTCTCATAATCAAAAGTATTGTGAAACTAGCCTGACTAATAACTCACATCTGCAAAAGACTGCTTAGAAATGAACTGCAAGCTTAAAACACAAGGAAAACACTGAAAGAGACAGCTTCCCAGAAATCTCACAAGAAAAGAACAGGTGTGGAGAAGAGATATCCAGGCAGAGTAGGGGCAGGCTGTCCTCACAGGGGCAGGAAGACGGCCTGCGCGTCCACTCATGTCACGGAAAGTTCTGTAGCAGAAGCCCCTCTGGAGTGTGGAGTGTGTGTTGCCAGTGCTGGAGCAGGAAGCTTAGGCGTGCCAGTGCTCCAAAATCACAGCCACAGAGCTGAGGACAAGGCAAAGACTGCTTATCAGAAATCAGTAAATGGTGCAGGCACAGTGCTGTATGCCTTTAACCCAGCTACTTGGTAAGAGGCTGAGACAAGGATCCCAAGTTCAAGCCCAATCTGGGAAACTCCAAAAAGGGCTGGGGGAGATTTTATTCAAAGCAAAGCACATTAAGCACTGAACTCAGGAACCCTGGAGGGGCTGGGTGCAGGGTGTGTGTTCATCATCCCCAAGGCCCTTTGTGCATCCTGGCACCAAACAGGAAGGGAAGGAGAACGAGCCCAGGAGGAAACTTAAGGTGCATCGAGGGAAAGCAGGAAAAGGGAACCAGTAAAAATCTAAGCAGAAATACATGAAGAAATAATAAGAACAGACCAGTAAATGCCCAGTCATCAGGCCTGTTCAGTAGAGAAAAAAGCAAGTCCAGAGATGTAAATGAGCAAGAAAAATTATAGATTTTTTTTAAGTACACAAAGATTTTATATATACAAAATTGTAAGTTGGAATTTGAAGATAAGTGGGAAATATTCTCAAAAGAAAATATAAATGCTGACATTAGTTCAAGAAGAGATAGGAAACATGTCGCTCTGTAGGCCCAAAGGAGTTTGAGATATTGGGGAAGTGCCCCGAAGCAGACAGGCTGAGCCAAGTTAAGGCTGGCTAATTTGCCCTCAGTGCCATGTGGAGCACTAGGGATGGGGTTTTGGTGCTCAGTGCCTGGTAAGATGCTGAGCTGTTAGGTGGGCCCAGCCACGTGGGAGAACAGTTATGGGCCTGGCCCCAGAACCCTGGCATGGCACCACACCCACCTGCTGTCGCAGTTACCGCATCAGCAGATGGAGACCGCCGAGCATCCATGTCTCTGGAAATCTTCAGAATAGTAATGAAGCTGGAAAAACAGATTTTGCACTTTGATTGAAAGTTAAATAAGACATCACAGAACTCCAAATGAATTCAGTATTTTAATTTTTTAAAAACCATGAAAAAATAGAAGGAAATAAAGGTAATTTTTTTATAATCTGGGCTTTGAAAAAGGACTCCCTAAGAATTGAAGTCAAAGCACAAGGAGAGGTAAAGAGGTCTGTTGGAAGCAGGGCCTAAGCGAGGTTAAGTGGCACATGTCTCCTGGTAAGGACTGCTCACATTCTAGAGGAGAAAGGTTAATGCCCTCACTATAGCAGGAGCACTTATAAGTCAGTAAGGGATGCTCATCATTAACAGGAGGAAAATGGACAGAGGACAGAAAAGAATGGTTCAGAAAAGAAGAAAAATAGCCAGTAAATATTTTTGAATGTATCCTTTTTAAACAGAGTACTTAGCCATGGGTGGTGGCACATGCCTGTGTGGCACATGCCTGTGTCGCACTGTGGGCGTTCAAGGCCAGCGTGGGCGGCACAAGCTGGAACACCCATTCTAGAAAATGGTAGCATTTCTACACTGTTCTCAAGGAAAGATACTGCTGCAAAGTGAAACAGTGGTTGTGACAACAAGGCATGGTCCACTTGTGCATATGCATTTGCACACCTAGAGAACACCCACTAAGGATGCTCAGGTGATTTTCTTTCAGACCTGAATGCAGTTGAAGTTCCGCTTTGAAATTCATATTTCCATAGCCCCTCAAGAATGTGTTGCTTACGAAATTAGAGATTAGCAGTAGGTGTTGTCTCAGAAGTAGAAGCCTGTTTTATGTGGAGGGTGGAGGATTTGCTTGGGGCTCTTATTGTGTGCCCGCCACAGCTCAGGTCATCCTGGCACAATGCTGCCCACCCAGCCAGGGGCACGGGAAAGTGTGGGCAGGCACAGGAGGGGCACTGGAACCAGCCAGAAAGTCAGAGCTTGCAGCGGCAGGCGTACAGGCGGAGGGACCTTGGTCACTTCGAGAGGAAGGACATTTGGGTCCACCCATAATTCAGTGGAAAACCCTTTGCCATAGGTGTCAGAAGGGCCTTCCACATGATCTGCAGAGAGTATCCAGAAATTGCTTCCACTTCCAGCTTGTTTCTCTCCATCGAGTGGGGGTATGTCCTGTCCCCTGTGCGCAAGGGAGACAAGATGCGGCTTCGGTCAGCCATATCCTGCCCCAGCTCACTGCAGCCGTGTGCTAGGCCTGTGCAGTGTGGGTTGAGTGGCCCTGCTCACCTTGTGCTGGCAGGATGCACTCCTGGGTGTTCATTTTAACATTATATTTGTTGATTTCTCCCTTCTCTAACGTGAGGGAAAAGATGTGTGTTTTTAAAACATTCTGCATATATTTTAGTCTAGTACCTTGAGTGATCTCATTAACATTTTATGTTTTTTTCTCCATTTAAAATGTTCCTTGTGCGGCACAGTAACTGAGCAGCAGGGGTCCTCAGAGCTCACACTCAGGGCCCTGTGCAGCCCCTCGAGCTCCAGTTGCTGGAAACCTGGACACCTTGCAGGCAGAATGCATGGCCACTCTCTTCCCAGGCACCGCTGGCCCTAAGTGCTTGTCTGTGACAGGTGGCTGTGTCACACATCTGGGCTGGCACAGGCTCGGCCTTTATTTCATGCCACGTGTGGTTCAGAAGGTGGCAGGTGACCCTGCTTGGAGGGCGGGAGCCCTGAGGTGGAGCTGCCCTGCGATTCTCCGCCTCCCAGTCCCTGTCTCCACTTCCCACAACCACTCCCTTCTGAGAGCCTCTGGCTGCGGTGCACTGGAAAAATCCAGATCATGGCTTACTTAAATACCCGGCATAAATGATAGCTCAGTGGTGTTTAAATAGGAGATATCTGACTGCACCCAGTTAACTGTTATTAGAGCCGCTGCCAGTGTCATAAAGAATGGATTGGGTGTTTGCTGGGGGTGGGGCTGGGAAGACGTCCCCTTTGGGCCCTTTATCATTCTCTTAAGTTTTCCAAGTATCCTATGAGGAGTACATCGTGCCACCCAGATTCTTCTCATGCCAGTCTTAGTTTTCTTGTAGTCATGGGGCTTGGTCTAACATGACACCTGTTGTGATGTGGGCACCTAGTAAAACGTCACCAGTGAAGGAAAGGGCTCTCTGACTTGTGCTGTGTAAAAATAGGCTGCTTCATTAAGTTGGGACTTTGTAAAGATGCCCTTTTCCACAGGAGCTACATCATATACCTGCTTATGCAAATCTAATTACATGGTGAGCTATGAACTTTTTAAAAAGAAAAATGACATGAACTGCCCAAGGAGGCAGGTGGCCCCTGTGACACTCAGCAAGTGTCCCTGCTGTGGCCCATAGTGACATGGTGGTCATGCAGGTGTCTGTCTCAGGTCCACTGCAGCTCTGGCACAAGCCCTGTGCTGAGTGTGCTCTAGGGCTCACCTGACCTCGCCCCGGCAGAGGATGTCTCAGCAGGGCCTTGGGACACTGTGGAAGTTCCCTGCCCCAGAGCCCGACACATGGTGCGGCTCCACTGCAGGTGTCGCTCGCACCACCGTGCTCACCTAGGCGTAGGGCCTGTGACAGTTCTGCTCTGTGCTCTGGTTCTCTAAAAATGTATCACACTTCTCACCTTTTCTCAATAGCTTCATTTGCTCCAATAAGCTTTGCAATCAAGGCGAAAGAAAATGATCTACTTCCCCTGGAAAAAAACCGAGTTAAGCTAGATGATGACAGTGATGATGATGAAGAAAGCAAAGAAGGCCAAGAAAGTTCTAGTAGTGCTGCCAATACTAGCCCGGCTGCAGCCCCACCCTGTGTAGTTGTCGAGGAAAAGAAGCCCCAACTTACCCAGGAGGAGCTAGAAGCAAAGCAAGGTTTGTCACTAGCTTTTAAAGTTCTCAAAAGAAAGAAAAGATGTAAATATGAGATGTAGCTGCTAAACTGGAAATTTGGAGCCTGCCACTTAGCCGTGTGGGCATTGTGTGGTATGTCTGAACTGTGAGCCGTCCTCCTCATGAGCACAGCCACAGTGCCCTGACAGTCTTTCTTTGGAGAGCCTAATGCTCTGGGCATCTGCTCTAAAGGGGGCCTCCGAGCTTTGACACGGCCCCAGGGTGAGGCTCAGCCCGCACTCCCCACTTCGTGGGGAGGTGCCCTTCGGGGAGACTCTCAGCAGAACCACCTGGCCCCTGATGATGTGTGGTGAGTTTTCAGCTTGGCTCATCTTCCTGGGTCACAGCATGGCCCTGCTCCAAGATAAATTATATCCTGCTTTCAAGGAGTTAATCACAGCTGTATTTGGAGGGTTTAATCTATTCTGGTTTCTTTCATTGCTTTTTCTGTGTACATACAAACAGATCAAGCAACACTTAGGAAAGGGAACTTCAGCCCCTATGCTTCCTGTCCAGTACTGACACTGCCCGTGCCCGTGACCTTGCGTGTGCCCAACTTGCTGCCCAACTTGCACTCCCTGAGTGTCTGCTCCAAGCCTTCAAGTCCTTGGGATGAGACACTTCTAGCGTAGCTGTCACCTGCCATAAGTGGGGGGGGGGTGAGAGTACTCCCAAGGGTGCCCTTCTCCCAGCCTCCACTAGTGTGGGACCCAGCAGCCGTCTGCTTTGAAAACCAGTGCCCTTCCTCACTCGAAAGGCACCCTCAAGCTCGTCCTCTCAGGAAGTGTCTTGTCTGTCCAGCCTGCTGTTGTGTCACGTTCCTCTCTGAATGAATGTGTGTGTGGCCAATTGATGCTTTGAAAGTGAGATGGAAGGATGAACACATTGGCTCCCAGCTCCACTTCTTTCTTGTTGCTCCCTTAGCAAAGCAGAAACTGGAGGACCGCCTTGCTGCTGCTGCCCGGGAGAAGCTTGCCCAGGCATCCAAGGAATCAAAGGAGAAGCAGCTCCAGGCAGAACGTAAAAGAAAAGCGGCTTTATTTTTACAAACCTTGAAAAATCCTCTGCCCGAAGCAGAAGTTGGAAAACTTGAGGAGAACCCTTTCAGTGTAGAGGTATGTTGAAGGAAGGCCATGTTGTCATCATCGTTGGGGGCACAGTGGCCAGAAGCTTGTGAGCTGGACCCCCCACAAGGAGCCTCTGGCCTGGCAAGGCATTGGCATCCCAGCTCCTGCTCCTGCCTAGGACACAGGCAGCATCAGTGTGAATCTGCTGATGGCCCCTGTGAGGGCCCAGTGCACAGACACCCAGGTACTGCCTGCAGGGGTACGGCCCCAGAGTGACCTGCCAGGAAGTGGTCAGGAGGGTATGGCTGGGGCACAGCTCAGCAGGGCAAGCCTATCACTGAGCTCAGGTCTCTGGGCGAGGATGGCACTGACTCCAAAGGAGAAGGAAGACTTGGACCTCACAGGGCTGGGGCTGAGTGGTGGATCAGCTGCCCAGCATGCATGCAGCCCTGGGCTCATCCCCAGCTCTGTAGAGACAGAGGCCATGAGGAGCACTAAGGCAGTGTGGCCAGGCTTAGCCTCGAGTGGGCATTGTCAGTTGGCCTGGGCTCGGTAAAGGACCAGGAGGACCCAGGACAGCAACTCTCACAGCAGTGGCCGCAGTAGGTCACATTTTTAAATGTTTCTGTGCCTTTGAGACAGTTTACGGGTTTTTTGTACTGAAGGTTTTCCTCGGCTTTCCACATGCTGGAAGCACAGTTATTGCATCGCATCACACCCCAGCCTTTTAGGTTCTTCATAGCAGCCCTGTCTGGATTTTGCTTGAGTTAGCCATACGTCAGGACTACTTAGGGACTGTGGGGGTGGTACAGGGACATCTTGGAGATGCCACATTTCCCAAGTGAGGATTAGAGCGTGCAGAGCATCACCTTTGATAGTGTCTGTGACACAGCCACTGCAGGGCCACGAGCTGTACCTGGATTTTTCTCAGGAGCATCAGAAACACTCACCAAAAATCTTTCCCAGCTCAACATTCGTCACTTAAGAAAAGTACAGACTCTAGGCATTTTACTTTTCAAAATGTCTCACCCTTTTGAAAGGACAGTGGTGACCTGGACGTCCCTGGCCAGCAGTGCTTACTCTAAGCAAGCCCTGCTGACACACTCGCTGGCCTTTTGAACCATCTGTAGGTTGGTGCAGACATGGTGGCAGCTGTCCTAATCACTACCTGCATCGCCCAGTGGAGAACTGTCCCTGGGAATGCTGTGCCCGTCACCATAGCGCAGCCCTCAGCCACACTTCCAGATGTCCCCAGTGTCTTACGGCTGGTTTTTCCCCATAGCTTAGAACTGGCCTTATACCTTTTCCCCTGTGATTACCTTGGCATTTCTAAATTCATTATGCCAAGAGAATTCTGTGTGTAGTCACCTGGCTACTTTTATTTTCCTGTGGAAAGCAGGTATTCTGAGTTCAGATTGAGCCATCTGCTGGGTCAGGAGTCTGTCTGAAACCCCATGGGGCTGGGAAGGCAATGAGTGCCCATTTGGCCAGACCTGTTTGTCATCCACTCTGCACATCCTGCATTGTGATGTCTTCCCAACAGCCCCTTCTGAGAAATCTCCACAGAGTTGCCACCCTCCACTGCCCTTGCCCTGGCAGCTCTGATGGATGCAGGAAGGGCCATGCTCCTCCTTAGCACTAGGTTTCTGGAGCAAAATGTGCAGCATTTATGACCACACCAGAAATGCTTTCAACGTAGTGAAGGAAGGAACAGAACGTGAAACATCATGCTTTGCTTTCGTTCTTGCTTTTGTGTTTTGCACTACTGGAATTGAGCCAAGGGCCTTCACACTGAGCCACATCTCCAGCCTTTTTTTAAATTTTGAAACAGGCTCTTGCTAAGTGACTAAACTGCCCAGGCTGGGCAGGAGCTTGTGATCCTCCTGCCTCAGCCTCCCAGAGGATGACAGGCATGCTCTGCCGCACCCAGCTAAAATATCTCTGCCTTCTGGTTGTAGCTTAGGTCTAATTCATATAGTAAGAAGCGGAGAAACTTTGAGAAAACAAGGCTCTGTTGCAGCAGTTGGCCTGTGCAGGAGTATTTTAATGTCCTTTATTGTTTCCCTGTCATCTGTGTACCAAGTAAAGGGTTTCACTAGGAAGTATCTGCAGATGGAGACAGCGATGTCTCAACCTGTCATACAGGCAGCTGTGTCTGCACGTCAATGCGCAGTTCAGCGGAGCCTTGTCCTCAGCCCACAGTGTCCTAGCCTGCGGGACTCACAGCTGCCAGGCTCTTCCCACAGGCACAGGGCCAGCCTAGCACCTCTCTGCCTGCTTCCCAGCCTGGGCTTGTCTAATCCCTGGAGATAAGAGTTTAAATCTTTGGGATGATCTCCTCGGGTATGTGTGTGCAGACATACAGATTAAGCTGCTTTTTCAACAAAAGTGTAGTGGTAGCAGCAGATGGTCTTAAATGTCTTTAATTGCTTTGAGACAAAAATAATGTAATTAAATTGGAATTGTCATAGATGAATGTCAGACTTCAGAATGTTGTTAGCCCAGAGAAGCTCCAGGGACAGGCTGTCCCAGGTGTCCTTGCCATTCTGACGGGCACGGTGCTCACGGTGTTGGCATGTTTGGCCCAACTGCACAAACATAAAGTTCTCAGTCCAGAGGGAACAAGGCAGGATGGGGTGCTGCCTCGGGCCTGGGGAAGAGCCAGCACCCCAGCCCCCCCCAGAACTGTGTGTGAGCAGACACCCCAGGCTTTGGGAGGCCTGTGCAGGACCTGCAGACCTTGGTCTGCTCCTGTTCTCATTCCTTTGACAGCCACCATGAAGGCAAATGCCTGGGGACAGGCACTGTCCCGCTTTCATCTGCTTTTGTGAAGGTGACGCATGCATGTGACGTAAAAGGTTCAGATAGCAGAGAAGAGGAAAGGTCTTCTTGTGTGTCCTTTGGTGGAAACAGTAGTTTTTTGTTTTGATTAAGCTAAAATGCTTATCATGTAAGTTTGCCATGTCCACCTTTTCTGCAGCACAGTAAGTGCATTGAGCACATCTGCACGTCGTGCACCATCTGTCCCCAGCAAGCTCCGGCTCCCTGGACCCTCTGCTTTCTGTCCTGCATATGACTGCTGGGAACCTCAGAGCGGGGCTGTCCTTCTGTGTCTGTCTCTCAGCATAACCCTCACATTCCCTCTGTGGTGGTTTCCATCGGAATTGCCTTCCTTTGCAAGGTTGCATATGCCTTGCTATCTGCGTGGACCACATTTGGGTGATGCTGTGTTCTGGAGGAAGAGCCAGTCTGAGTCTGTGACAGATTGAAAGTCTTGTGCTATGGGGGCTGTGCACTGTCCCACACAGGAGCGACAGTGAACGTGGTACAGAGGGGCTAAGACAGTGTTTGGCCTGTTGCAGGCTTTCTGAAGGGTCTTTGGGCTAGAACTCACTGTCACCTGCTTTTGGGAACAGCGGGGTGCAGGTTTCCCTCTTTGAGTGGTGCTTCTTCTGCCCTGCGTGTCTTGTCTTGTGTTGGGCTTCCACGAGCATCCCCAGGCAGAGCCCTGGCTGTGGAATTGCTTTTTCAATTTGAGGCACTGCCAGATGGTCTGCAGGAGGGTCTTGGCAGCTTTGTGTCCCATGCCAGCCCTCACCCACCTTCTCACCAGTCTTCTGGGGAACAGTGGGACCTGCTCTGACCCACACAGCATGATGAAGTGGTGCCGAGCAGTCCGCCACAGGTTCTTGGCATTTTTCTCTCTTCCTTGTGGCTGCCTCCGAGCCTGCTGCCCATCTTCTGCTCATCTTCTCTCTACTGCATATGTTGGTCTCAGGTTGGGGCGCACAGAGCTGGACACACAGACACTGGTCCCTGTCTCCCTGTGTGTGTGCTCGTCCCCTTTGTACCTGATCTGTTTCTGCACTCTGCCCTGCTCCTCTCCATTGATCTTTGGAAGAGGTGGTCACCTACTGCTATGGAGACAGGATCTTAATTGAATTCCTGAAGTGCTCCTATTGACATGGAAAGCTGTTAATAGTACCCTCAATTTCGAGTGGTATGGGGGGTAGTGAGCATATGCATGCATAGTATGTAGGTGCCTGAGTGTGTACTGTCCTCACCCTTGGTGAGTACCTGTGTGCTTAATTCAAAACAAATCAGAAACTTTCCCCGCTGCTTTTTGCGGGGGAATGGTGAGACAGGGTCTGGTTATGTAGTCTAGGTCTACCTTGAACTCACAAAGTCCTCTGCCTCAGCCTCCCAAGTGCTGGTATTATAGGAGTGTACCTCACCCAGCTGTGGCTCAGGCCTTCTGAGTCACTTGCTACTCAATAGCACTTCACCTTTTGTAGATTCCAGTCACTCTTTTCAAGTTTTTGGTCCTGCTGAGTTTGTGAATCATACAAGAGTTGGAAAAGAGTGTAGGAATAAAAGCTAGTATCGCCGAGTCCCTGCAGGTCCCAGGTGCTGAGGCATTTGGAGACCTGAGTGAGGAGCTCTGGGGACCATAGTGTACAGTCAGCATCAGTGGGAGCAATTTGTTCCACAGCCTTCGGGCCAGGGAAGGGCAGCAGGCTGCTGCTGGTTCTGAGGGCCTGGCCTCTGGCAGATGGCAGGGAATGCAGGCTATGGAGCACCGTGCAGCTGAGCAAGCACGAGTTGTGTGAAGAAGGGAAGCCCGGGTGAGAGGCCCACCCCATGCGCTCTGTGGGCAGGCCCACCCCCTGTCCTGGAGGCATGCTAATCTTTGGAGGTTCACCCTCCCAGGCAGTTCACATACTAGTGTATTGCAAAGTAAGTACTTCCTTGTAATGAAGATCTGACGAGTGTCACCCTCCTCCTGCTGAAGTGGTGGGCAAGAGGTATCTGGACAACTTCATGAATCACTGCTTTTCTGGAGTTCCTCTGTGGTTTCTCCAGAATACTATGTAACCCCAACCCTATACCCAGCCATGGTTTGCTTTCTGTCTGCTGGAATGTTAGACTCACTCTGGTTCCCTGGGTCACGGGACGCAGCTGGTGCCCTGACCATGGTGTGCAAGGGGGTGCCAGCAGATGGATGCCCCAGAATCCCAACTCCAGCACTGCTGAGGGTGCCCTCAGGAGGTAACCACTTAGCTGGCCTCCAGGGTGTTCATACAGGAGCAGCTCATATTAGCACAACTGGGCAGCTTCTGCATAAGCCAGAACAGCATTTATTTTGAAAATATTTCTTGTGGTGCATATTCTGCAATGTGTGACACCAGCTACTTAAGTTAACTAAAAGCAGAGTTTGGAAGCCATTCCTTTGTCACCCTTTATGGAGCCTGTAGCCTGCATACATCACTGCCTGAGCTGTCTGTCCCTCCAGCAAAGCCTAGAGCAAGTGAATACCTGAAGTGTTGTGGGATGGGTAGTGGCAGAGGACAGTATGGTGCACAGAGGCACCCGTGTGGGTTGCCCTACCCTGCCCAGACCATGCCTGGCGCATGAGCCTGTGCAACTCTGGCACTGATGATGACAAGTGTGTGGCCAGGCCTGGCCGCCACCTCTTTCCTGAGAATTCTGGGCCTGGTTTCTGAAAGGGTGGCAGCTGCTCAGGTACCACACTGTTGCAGCGTTCTGGAACTGGCAGGTGCGAGCTCAGGTTCTTGTCATCCACTAGAGTCTGACCTCGACTCTCCTTAGGGGAGGCCAGGGCTGTTGGGGTCTTTCCCATGCAGAAAGCTGGTTTTTCTATGGCCCACTCACATCCAGGCCTCTGGGCCCACAGGGGCACCCGGCTGGTCTGGTCTTGGCTAGGGTGGTGCGCCAGGCTGCTGGGCTGGGGGCTTCTCCTCCGCACAGGGCAGATCCCAGCCCAGTGCAGTATCCAGGTGGATGCAGGGCTGGTTAGAGGGCAAGGCTGAGCTCCAGTGGGACCTTTCTGTGTCAAGTATGTTTAACAGGAAAGTGCAGATGCTGCAATCAGAGGACTGGTGTGGAGACCTTTCCGGTAAGAGCTGAGGTGGATTCCCTGGAGGTCTTTCAGTCAGGGCCTCAAGAAGAAACCTGCTGAGCTGAGCCCTGTGACACGCGGCTGTGTCATCTCACCCGAGGTTCTATTTGACCCAGCCATCCCTCTGCTGGGTATCTTTCCAAAAGAATTAAAAGAAACATACCACAGTGATATATGTGCACCAATGTTTATAGCAGCACAGTTTGTAATAGCTAAAACTTGGAAACAGTCCATTTGCCCATCTGTTGGAAACTGGATAAAGAAGATGTGGTTTTTCTATAAAATGGAATACCACTCAGCCATAAAAAATGAGAAATTAGAGTCAGTCATAGGAAAGTTGATACATATTGAGGATAACTCCTAAGTGAAATAAATAAGCCACATGTGTAAATACCGAATAGTCTCTCTGGTGTGAAAAACTATAATAGTACACAAGATCCTAATGGGATAATTAATAGTGTTAAATAGGAAGAAAAGGGCTAAAGGTGTAGGGAAAGTGGGAAGGGTAGGGGAGAGGGAACAAGGGAAAAGAAAAAAATGTGAGAAAATGAAAAAATGGAAATAAAGTGTTTGTAAATGGGGAGGGGGGCAGAGGGTGAAGGGAGGGCAGGGACAAGGGGAAAAAATGAGAACCAAGACCTGTCATGTAAAGGTACAAGATCCCAATGATGAATGTAACTGTACTGTATACCTAAAATGTACCAATAAACTCAATTAAAAAATAAATAAATAAAAAGCCAGGCGTGGTGGTACACACCTATAATCCCAACACTCAGGAGGCCGAGGCAGGAGGAACACCTCAAGTCTGAGACCAGCCTGGGCTACATAGTTTAAGTCATCCTGAACTATAGTGAGACCTTATCTCAAAAAAAAAATTTTTTTTAGGGCCAGGGATTTAGCTCAGTGGTTCCAACCCCAGCCTCGAAAGCACAAGCTTCCAAGTTTGATCCCTAGTACCAAAAAAAAAAAATTGGGGTTTGGTTTGGTTTTGAGGGCTTGAGCTTTGGCCCTTTGGTAGATATAGCACTTTCTTAGTAGGAGCAAGGCCTTGGGTTCGATCCCTAGGGCAGGAAAAAAAGAACTTGGCAGTTTAAATATAGAAGTGCTGGAATTGTGCCCTGCATGGGATCTCCCTGTGCCTGGCTCTGCCGCCCAGGCCGCATGAGCAGGAGCTGGGTCTGCAGGGCCCAACCTTGGGCTGAAGGCAGTGTTCAATGTGCATGTGGGCCGGGAGCAGTGCCAAAGGGCTGGAGCAGCCCTGTGTGCAGTGCATGTCCACTGGCTGGTGGTGTGGGCCAGTGGAGGACAGCCAGCTCCACCCGCCCTGGTCCAGCCTGTGCAGGCCTTAAAGTTTTCTGTAACCCTCGGAGCTGAACCCTTGGGGTGCACGAGGTGGAGTTGCATGGCATTTGACTGTGGTTAAAATTCACATGCAGTAAGCTGAGTGCCCTGTGGGCCCACATGCCAGGCAGTGCCAGTGGTCCTGCAGAGAAGCCCAGCCTGTATGCGCCTGGCACTGGGTCCCAATTGCCTCTTGTGTCTGCCTGGTGCCCACTTTCTAGCCTGACCTGTGGGAGCCCCTAAGCAACTGCCACCCATTATCCCTCCCACTCCAGACCCTCTCCTCCTGCAGCCTCAGCCTTCTCAGACTCAGGAGAAACCTGATATTGGAGGGAGTCTCCTTTGGGGAAGGTTGCTAAGGAGCAGATGCAGATTTCCCCTGACACTGAGGCCTTGGTGCTCTGCCCAGCAGACTAGAATGCTGAAATGGCACTCAGACACAGGCAGACCAAGGAAGACAGCAGCACTCAGAGAATGGAAGGGAAAGGCAAGTTTATTTGGTATCTAGTGGGCCCAGTGGAAGTCCCGTTGCTGAGCCCTGTTTCTAAGTTTGTTCTCACATTTATCTGTTTTAGCCTGGGCAGGAGAGCAGGCAGAATTTTACAGAAGCAGAACTTAGCAAAGTGTAGGGAGGTGGGGGTCATGTAGCTTTTACAGTTTTTGTGTATGTGTGTGTGTGTGTGTGTGTGTGTGTGTGTGTGTGTGTGTGTGTGTTTGTTTGTTTTTGTTGTTTGTTTTTTGAGGCAGGGACTCACTGTGTAGTTGAGACTGACCTGGAACTCACTGTGTAGCCCAGGCTGGCCTTGAACTCATAGTGATCCTCCTGCCTCAGCCTCCCCCAGTGTTAGGATTACAGGAGTGCACCAACACACCCGGCTTTTTACAATTTATCTTTAAGACACACGGAGGTGCACAGTTGTGTCTTAGCAGTTCCAGCTTCCCCGCACAGCGACCTTCGTGGGGTTAGCAGGAAGGGTAAGCCTCAGACCTCAGACTGTCAGCCCCGACCGCAGTCTGCCCAGCTTTGAGCCTGTCGTGTCTGCGCTTGTTTTTTCCATTTCAGCACGAGCTGCCACGCAAGGAGGGCTGGCCTCACCATTCTGAGTGTTGCCTTCCTGGAAAAGGAGGCCAAGCCGCTACACAGCCAGAGAGAGGGGTTGTCCCTGCTGGGACAGCAGGTGCTGCCAAGTGCAAGCCAGAGTCGAAGTGTTGTCACCTGTGCTCCTCCATCCTATTTCCCTGCTGATGCCACGAATTTGTTTCTGTTCTCAGGAAGCTGGTGCCGCACCCTGTCCCCTACTGAGTGGAAGCAGACCCCTTCCCACTTTAGAAGTGAAGCTGCCAGAAAGGCCTTCAAGCAAAAGCAGAGACCCACCGAGGGAAGAAGAAAAAGAGAAGAAGAAGAAGAAGCACAAAAAACGGTCTCGGACTAGATCCCGCTCTCCCAAGTATCACTCGTCATCAAAGTCCAGGTCCAGGTCCCACACAAAGGCGAAGCACTCACTTCCCAGTGCCTACCGGACGGTGCGGCGGTCAAGGTGGGTGTTCAGGGCTGGTGCCCTGCAGGTCCTGTGTCCCCATGCATGGAAGCCTGCGTGACCTGATGCCCATCCGTAGGCTGGGCAGAATTTAAAATGGATGTGGGTATGCCTGTGTGCGTGCCTGCACCTGTTCTTGGTATCATAACCAGCTCCTGCCAGCTCTTTGGCTCCTGCTGGCTTTAAAAAAAAGCAGGGTTTATTTAAACAGTAACAGGTCACGGGAGCCAGCCTAGCGATCGCTCCAGTGTGTGAAAAGTGCACAGGATGGGGTGTTGGGTCCTTTTTTGTTTGAGTGATCTCTCTGCACTGGTTTCTTTTGTGCAAGTTTTAAAACAAAAATCTTTACTGCATAGTCTGTGCTCAGGTCCATGGCACCCACAGGTGTGTGACAAGGTAACAGCAGAACTAGTCTGCCCCCTCGTCCATCGTTCTGCTCTCCATGTGTCCTGCTGCTTCACAGGAGCCAGCCTGGGAAAAAGGGCTTTAACGTTTCTGGCGGCAACAGTGGTAAATGGCAACTTACTACTTAGCAGCACACTTCTTTTTTTTTTGGTACCAGGAATCAAACTCAGGACCTTGCACTTTCGAGGCAGGTGTCAAAACCACTGAGCTAAATCCCCGGCCCCATAGCAGCACCCTTTAACCAGGAAACACCACACAGCTCCTCGGGAGGGTAGGGCAGGAGGAGCTCAAGTTCAAGGCCAGTTTGGGCAGCTTAGCAAGACTCTGTCTCAGAGTTAAGTGTAGAAGAGGGAGGGTAGGGCCATGGTGCTGCTTGGTTGTAGGAAGATTTTGCTCATGTGTAGGAGGGCTTTGGGTTCCCTACCAAAAAGAAAGAGCAGAGCCAGCTAGCTTACGTGAGGTTCAGCAAGGACACCCAGTTCTGTGTGTGCGTGTCCCACCTCGGGGGCCCTGACTCCCCAGACCCATTGCCTACCTCACACCTGGTGCTTCTGGAGTTGAGGCCTGCTCTTTCTAGAGGTCTGCTGTGAACAGGCGCCTATCTGCCCCATGCCCAGTATGCGGGCCCAGCAAGCCAGGTGTGCCTTCTGGGTAGGGGCTTGTCCAAGGCTCTGCATCTCTCCTACTTAGTTGTTTTTGTTTTTTGTTTTTTGTTTTTGAGAGAGGGTCTCACTATGTAGTTGAGACTGACCTGGAACTCACTATATAGTCCAGACTGGTCTCGAACTCACAGTGAACCTCCTGCCTCAGCCTCCCGAGTGTTGGGATTACAGGCATGCACCACCACGCCCAGCTTACGTCTCTCCTACTTAGCACACACACCAAAAGAAACTTAATTTAATTGAATGAATGGCTTTGTTGACATACTTTTGGTTTTTTAATTTTCTGAGGAATTTGTATTACACATCAAAACTTTGTAGAAAATTTCTCACTTGAGAAAGTTTCTTATACCATGATAGAGCTGAAAGAAAATGCCCTGGGCCTGAGCCAGATCCCAGCCCACCACACCCAGTGAGTTCTTCCTGGGTTCAGAGGGGAGGTCGAGTCCTCTGTGGTCCCCAGGCATGGGCCCTGCATGTGCAGTGCTGCACAGCCGGTGCCTCCCTGCGGGCCTGAGGGTTGGGGGTGGCCCTCAGCTTTCCCCAGTTAGGGTATAGACAGCTGGGTGTTCCTGACATGACACCTGGTGTGTCAGGGTCTCCTTTGTGATAGATAACTTGTTTTATATGTTATTTTTTCTTTTAAATAGATTTACACACAAATGTATCTTTTTTTTATATATTCATCACTGACGAATTCAAGATACAAATCTCACCCCTTAGTTTGTAATTTTCAGGTACAAGAAAAATTAAGTTGAGAATGTTCTGATTATGCTCTCTGCCATGGTGTTAGGCCACCAGTTTCATCTTAATTTGACCTACAGTGTCAGCAGAGCTGAGCTTTCCTATAACTTCTTCGTCTCTCTTGGTAGCTGAGGTGGTATTTACAATACTTGTAGTTGGTTGTAGTGAAATAACTGGCTTAAATTTACTGAGTAAGTCAGGTTTTGGGCATTTAGGTTTGCAATACAGATTAAAATATCAAGGCAAAAAGACTGATATCCAACCTCTGGAAGGCTGAGGCAGGAGGCTTACAAGATCAAGCCCAGCTGGACAACTTAATGAGAATTTCAATGTCTCAAAATAAGAAAATAATAATAATGAAAAAAGGCTGGAGATGCCGCTCAGTGTGACAGCTCTGGCCTCAGTCCGCAGTTAGGACTGATAATATTCCGAAGCAAACCTTCCAGCTGTGGAAGTGTGCTACAGGTTCTGCCCAGGGAGCTGGTGCCTGAGGTCATGGGCTCACCTGGGTGGCCCCACCTGAGCAGCCTGTGTGTGGCTTCTGCCTTGTTGGGCAGGTGTTTGCTGGCCGGTGTGGTCCTCTAAGCTGCAGGCAGGTGGCCTGCTGAGTCCTAGCCCCACTGGCAGCCAGCACTTGCCATTCTGGAGATGCAAGTGGATTTCAAATACTGTGGCTGCAAATAAAACGAGCGGATGGTGTTCTCCTCTTTAGTGTGAACTATGGACATGTGAAGACAACTACATTTCAACCAGAATACTGACAGTGCTAATGACAGTGCTTTTATTGTTTGCATAGATGCCTCTTTGGCTAGCACAACCCCGTTACAGACCCGCCGTCTCTGTAGGACACAACGTGCAGGCTGCCTCTCAGCCTGTGTAGCCCGATTGGTCTTTGTCAGGGCCTGCTCCCACTTCAAGGCAAAAGCCGCCATTGTTGACATTTCTAATTGGCAGCACAGCACTCACTGAAACGAGACACCTTTTCTTTTGTGCAGTGAGTCGCTGCAGTGCAACAGATGATACAGGACAGTAAGGTTAGAAGATGCTTTTGTCATTGTGAGCCTCTTTACTAAGAGGCAACTCACGTGGTTGAAACCTCAGCACCACAGAGGAAAGGGGTCCGGTACCTGGGTGAGCTACTCATAGCAAAAAATCTCTTTTGGGGGAGTACCGGGGATCAAACTTGGGGCCTAACTCGGGACCTTGTGCTTTCAAGGCAGGCGATGGCACCGCTGAGCTAAATTCCCAGCCTTCAAGTCTCTTTCGTCTCGCCAAGATGGTTATGTCACCTCCAGTGCACTGGTTTTAGCAACTCGTACTCCCCTTCTTTCCCCTGCATTGTACCTGCTCTCATCTGTGTTTGATGGGAATCAGGGTCTCCTCCTTCCCAGTGAAGAAACATTCGTGCCATTTACTCACACCTAAAACTAAAAGTCAGCTCTAAGTAAGGTGCAGGTATTGCTGAGCCACACTTACAAGACCTAAGCCTGGAACTGCATCTGTTTAGACCTTGGTGAAGACAGCTCAGTGCTCACCTGGTGCCTGAACGCCTCTCAGCCCCACCTGTGCAGGGTCCTTCAAGACATCTGGGTTCTCTGTAGACCCAAGCTCCCGGGCAGCCGCTGGGGATGTATGATTATTTTTAAATAGTTTAACATTAAAAAATAAGTTTGAGGCAAAAATGATAACTCAGGCAAAACTGAGATCCTGTTTTAATTTGAAATTTATGATTCTTCACTGTCCTTTTTCCTTGTGATAAACTACACTGCAAACCAGTATAAGATAATTTTATCTTTTAACCCTGTTTCTTAAATGAGGAAATGGGGGCTAGGAGGTCGGGTGGCAATGGTTGCCATGCTAGTGCAGTGCTAGTACGGGGCAGTCACTGTGGGTGGGGAAGGGAAGGGTGCACTGCCAGGCAAAGCCCAGGCCGGTGTGGACCGCAAGCTGGCACCTCCTGTCTGTGGGGTGAGTGCCCGCCCTGGCTCTGGGTCACCTGTGGGAGCAGCAAGTGGTTACCGGTGCTGAGAGAAGCAGCTACCTAGAAACAGGCTTCTTACTGCTGCTCAGATGAAATGTCTGGCGTCTCCGTGTTCCTTTGAGAGCAAACCCTTATGATTTTATACAGAACGGAGAGAAGCGTCTGAGATGCAGTGTGCTTACAACTTGTCACCGGGGTGATTTTGTCTGTGAGAAGCTCTGGTGCATCGGGTAGGTGAGCTGCGTGTAAGTGGACCCCTTTTCTGGCTCTGAGATGTGGTAGCCATGCTAAGAACAAAAGCTGTGAAGCTTATCTCACGTGAAGGATCACCTACTGTTGTTACTGCCCCAGTTCTGGGCGTGCTCCCTTCCCTGCGGACAGGAAGTCTGGGACCCCACTTCACTCTGCAGAAGTCCACTGCGGGAGCTGTGCCTCGAGGTACTGTCGGCCAAGTCAGAGTCTGTGATGTTGAGCGCACCTGTGTTTGCCCTGCATCCTGAGCTTACTCCATGTCGAGCGCTCCAACGGTGCTCTAGCTGTGTAAGCAGGGCCCTCCTGGCACCACCGGTTCTAAGTAAGCAGTGTGTGCCTCCGGCCACAGGCGTGGAGACTTGCCAGAGCCGCATGGCAGTGGAAGCAGCGCAGCGAGACAGTGGTCAGGCAGCCTCGGCCTCGGACAGATTAGACTCCCGGAGCTCTGCCGAGGGGAAGCCTAGTCGCATCACTTTGTGATCTGTCACAGAACCATAGGGCAGGTCCAGGAGACGGCCGTCACCTGTGCAGCTGGGGCGGGGGTGCTCAGGACGGCAGGGGGTGGGTTAAGTTGATCCTGGAACACCCATATGTACTATGGCGGGGCCTTTAATGTAATAAAATGATTCAGTGAAGAACTTTTTTAAATGGCAAAAATTAAGCTTCTGTTCTGAAACATTGTTTTTGAATTGGTTGTCATGGAAACAGTGGGGCGAAACGATGATTTTTCCCCCAGACTTCTGCTTATTGCAGTTTTCCTGAAACAGTAATTTCATTGAATGAAAAAAGAACTAAAATAAAAGTCCCAGTGCCACCCAGGGAGCCCACATTGAGGACCTGACTCCTCTGATGGCCAGTGGTCTTATGGGCCTTGTGTGCCCGTGTGGGCTGTGTGAATGGGTTCCGTAGGTCAGGAAAGGAAGCAGAAAGACTGGGGGGTGGTTTTGCAGTAGTTGAGCCCATGCCACCATGAGATGGCACACTCGAGTGGGCTGAGGCTGTGGGCTTACGCCATTGTTCCCACAGCAGCCTGAGGTCCGTGTGGGCGAGAGCTCCAGGCGCGACCTTCCACTTCTGGAGCCTTCAGGGTCTCACAGGCCAGTGTTGAGACAAGTGGCTGGGCCCTTGGTCTCAGCACCATCCCTGCCAGGTGTTGCTACCTGTTGGTGAGCTGAAATCTGTAGGCAGAGGTGAGAGGAGGGGAGACAGGCCCAAACTGGGGAGTAGGGAGAGGCAGCCCTGCCTCCAAGGGCCAGAACTCAGGGAGAGGACAGGACTGCAAAGTCCAGTCCTGTGCTGCCCCACCTGCAGGCCCCCATGGGGTCTGGTCTGCCACTCACAGGGCTGCGCACTGGATGTCTAGACTGCAGAGCTAACCTGCCTCCTGTCGTCTTCCATCCAGGTCCCGGTCCCGGTCCCCTCGGAGGAGAGCCCACTCCCCTGAGAGACGACGGGAGGAAAGAAGTGTACCCACTGCCTATCGGATGAGTAGCAGTCCTGGGGCCAGCAGGAAACGAGCCCGGTCCAGGTAGGCCACCTGCTGTCCAGGCACCAGCTCCCAGGCTTTCCTGGGAAGTGGTCAGAATTTGCTGTCCACAATTGAGGCCCCAGGTCCTGTGTGACACCATCCTCACTGGGCAATGCCCAGCTCTGCCCTTCACTTGTTGACAGGGATGGCATCCTCCCTGGTTCGGGGCATTTGCCGTTGTGGCCAGTGGTGTGTGTGGTGACCAAGGCCACATCTTCAGCTCTCGGGAACCTATGGTACCCTTTGTCACCCAGAGAGCAGGAGGGGGTTGGCCCACATGCACAGTGACACCTGGGGACTCCAGCAGCAGCCACAGAAGTGCACCCCGCCCAACACCGCCTCAATGAAGGTGCCAGGAGCACATATGGTCAGGCTGGTCGAGGACGGTTCTGTGAGGCAGTAAAGAAGAGGAAGTGGAAGCTGTGCAGGGCACTGGTCAGCTGCTTGGTGTCAGTGCAGTTTCTCATGCAAGCCACTCTGTAAATGAGGCTCTGTGCCTCGATAATCCCACACCAAGTACATGCAGCTACCGCAGTCCATGAGTTCATTCCTGAGGCAAGTGATTTAACGTTTGCCATCCATCATCACTTTAGGTACATGTAAAGGGCATGATCCAAAATTAATTTTATCTTTCAACAGAAGAGTTCTTTCTTTGCCCTCAAATTAACCTTTCCAATAAAAGAGAGATCTTGGGAGGAGGAAGAGGAGATGACATTAGAAATTAGCCAGCTTAGCTGGCTGCATCCCTGCAATCCCAGCACTCTTGAGGCCAAGGCCAGAGGATTGGAGTCCAGTATGGGTTACACAGTGAGACCCTGCCTTCCAAAACAAAAAGATAAATCAGCCAGCTTAGCTGTGAGGACTTGAAGACCTCTGGTATGACTGCAAAAGCCCCATAAAGTCACACAAAGAAAGTGAGGTTCATATAGGCTTCCCTGCCACACAGATGCATCCATTGTGGCACTGGGAACTGGCAGATTCAGTAGCACTTGGTAGCTGTGAACACGTGCAAGTTGCTGGCCTGTTCCCTGTCCTAACCCAAACCCTGAGGCCATGTGCAGGTCAGGTCCTCAGGCAGACTGGTCAGTTGTCACTCTGCTGGCGCTCATGTATCTATCCAGTCTCTGTGGCTCATCCCTCAACGTTGCCCTGACAGGTTGCATGCTCCGCCCCCCCGCCAACACAGGATGGTTTCTGCAGCTCACAGACTCCCTGTTTGGATGGTTTTTGAGCAGTACATTGAGCAACCAAGGCATAGTGCTCTGCAGTTCAGAGGGTGGCGCCCTCCTCCTGTGCTGTCCCCTGGGTGGGCTGTGCTGCAGGGCCCACAGCAAGACACTGGTCAGGGCTCACCAGCCAGGCGCACTGGGTGTTCTGGTGGAATGTGCGTTCCCCGGTCACATTGAAGACAGACACATCCCTGCTCCTTGTTGGAGAGGCTTAGTGACAGTGCGGTGACCTTGGAAAGCTGCAGGATTCGTCCCAGCAGTGCCCTGTCCCTGGTCCTATCCTGGTCAAGCCCTGCTGCATCAGGACAGCGACTTTCTTCTCCGCCCTTCCTCCTGCACTTACTGGCCAGCAGTCTTCTCTCCTTTCTTTCTGGACTAGTGGCTTTGGGTTTTGCTTCTTGGTGCTGCAGCAGTGCATTGCTTATAATGGTGACATTGTCTCAGATTAGGCCCATGGAGCCCTTTGCAGCAAGGTGCTACATTCCTATTGGCACCTCCCACTGCCCTGAACACAGGGTGTTCCAGGCTGCCTCGTACCTTCCCTACCCCTGCACCTGTCCCAGGACGGGTACCTACTTGGAAATCCAGATCTGTGCTATTGAAAATTTGGTACAGTTAGAAAACAATATTTATACTAAACATGTGAGGACATTTCACAGAGTGTTGGTCAGGTATTGTAGCCCCCTCATCCAGGACATCCTGCTGGCTTTCTCACAGTGACTGATGAATCATGAAGAAGGGTTGTATGCAGGTGCTGTGCCGGGTGCGGGGGTGGACATCCCTGGAGGGGCTGGGGATGCTGTCACCAGGAAGCTTTTGGTTATACACAAATGTTCTTCAAGCGACTGGTACTGAGGGTCACGTGGCCCCAGCCCCACAGTGACCAATTGAAAGGAGCTAAAAAGCTGGTAGAGGCTATAAAACAATTAAAACGCTCTAGTAAATCCAAAAGAAAGCAGAAAAGGACTTCAGGGAACAACTGAGACAGATAAACAAAAGGATAGAATTAAAACTGCCTCACTGGGCATGGTGGCGCAGGCCTGTGATCCTGGAACTCAAGGCTGAGACAGGAGTGTCAGAGTTTGAGGCCATCCTGGGCTACAGAGAAAGATACTGTCAGAATAGCCGCTGTTTAGCTTGGTGTCCAGTGGGAGAGCACATCCCTCACATGCACCGAGCCCTGCTCAGGCCCCAGCACACAGAGGCAAAACACCAAAGACCTGTTTATACAGTGTGATTAAGAGACACTTTGAATATGAATACAGAAATTGGTTCGAATTCAAAGACAGAAAAGCCAAGCGCAGCATTTGTGAGGCACGGCAGTGTGGCTGGGCTGCTGGGCACTGTGCAGACAGAAATGAGAGGTACAGGGCTGAAGGCTGTGTCTCTCAGGGGTCCAGGGGTCACTCGGAAAGTGAGTGCAGGACACCCAGGCCACGGTGAGAACGCAGAGTCCTGGCGCTGCCCTAGCAGGCACCAACGGCACAGATTGTTCCCGGCCTGCAGGGCATTGCCCTCAAATCATGATGAGCTGGAAAACCCCAAGTGCTTAAAGCCAAATGTCACACTTCTTAACTACTCTGAGGTCAAAGAAATCCCAAGAGGAGTTGGATGATGTTTTGGAGTGAGTGACAATGACAATATGGTCTCTTCAGCTCTGTACAGGGCACTGTGCTTAGAAGGAATTGGTGACCTCAGTGTTTACAGAACAGACAAGTATAACAGAAACAATGATCTGATCTGTCATGAGGAGCTGGGAACAAAAGAAACTAAACTCAGATGGAAGCAAGGAAATAATAAAACTAAGATTGGAAACAACAAAGTAGAAAACAGACCAAACAGAAGAAAATAGCAAAAGCAAAAGATAGTTCCTTGAAAATGATCAAAGAATTGACAGCTCTTTAGTTGGATTGATCAAGAAGGAAAGGCTGCAAACATTAAAAATAATAATAAGGAAATAAATCTTTTTTAGTTAAATCAACAACTTAGATGATATGGGCAAGTTTCTTGAAAGAAGCAAATTATCAAATTGACCTGGAAGAAAATAGATCATCTATTAGCTGCACATCTAAGGAAGTTGAATGTGTAACTTGACCCTGTCACCAGGACCCGTCATATATTCAGTAAGGAAGTGACAGCAGCACTGTGGACCCCTAAGGCAGGTGTGAGGCCCTGGGTCAGATTCCCAGCAATGCAAGGAAAAAATAGACCTCTGAGGGCATCATAACTGGTACTTGGAGCAGATGAGGACATGCACACGTGTGCACCTGCCCAGCAGGACTGAAGAACAGAGATATGCATGGCTGAGTGTGAATCCCATCCTTCCTAGCTTCCTTCCCCGGCGCCACCAGAAATGAGCTCCTCTTCAGAACACTGCATGCTTGGGCTGTTGGTGGATCCGGTCTGGTCCCAGTACACACCCATGGGCTGTTTGTAGAAGTTGGCAGGCTGAAACCTAAAGCTTGTATGCAATCAAAAAGGACCTGGAACAGCCACAGTGCCTTGTACAACTGACATGGGGACTTTTTTGGCAGGATCTCAAGACTGACTGGAGAGCCACAGCAGTTGGGACCATAGTGTCCACTTAGAACATGCAGATGGGCAGCACAATAGGGGAGAGTCCAGGAAGACGCATTGCATGGCCACACAGGTGCTAACTAGAGTGCCCAGGTGATTCAGTGAGGGCGGAAAGGTCTTTCTAGCTAAGCCACCTGAGCAGCAGGTGAACTGCACACCGGGCTCTCAGCCTGAGACCAGGACACGGAATGTGCGCTGGGATCCCTCAGGATGCCACAAGCCTGCGGAGGAGACCATCAGAGGCTTCCCTCCGTGTAGTTGGGGAAATACAGGCCAAGCCCTACCTGGGTGAATCCCTCAGGTCGCATGGGCCTGAGAGGAGCAGAGGCCTGCAGTGGCTGGCACAGAAGAGCAGCTCCCGGACAGGGTAGCACTGGCACAGACCTCCAGGCAGCACTGCTATGTGGTGGCCTGGGGGAGGGCTTGGGGCGCAGAGAAAGTACGGGGCAAGGCAGCCACTGCAGGAGCACCTATACTGCCTGCTGCTCCATCCCAGGGCAGACTCTGAAGTGAGCCTTGGGCCATGGAACCACCTCGGCCTGGATTTCCAGAAACAGGCAACACGGATACCTCCTAGCTAGAAGTTTCGAGGTCTGGTCTGTGGAGCTGAGGTCAGCACCAAGGTCACCTCCAAGAGTGGGGAGAGGAACAGGCTGTAGGCTGTACCAGAGAATGTTCCAGAATAGGGCCTGCTCTCGAAGGTGTGGGGTTCATCCACGTATGTGCATGCTGTGGCCTCGGCTGTTTGGGGGCAGACTCCTTGCTCCTGTGCTCCCGCTGCAGAGGCTGGACGGCTCTTCTGTGAGGTCAGACTGCAGTCGGTCTGAGCCACACTCACATCCCACACTACACTGGGCACGCACAGACCCCACAGACCCCACAAACCCCTGGCCAGCGAAAGCTACTCCCTCCTGTCCCTCAGGTAGCTATGGAAGCTCAGCCAGACTTTGGCAGGGTTATTCTGGTCAAAGATCACGTGCTACCAAATATTTTACTGTTCTGTCTGCTGCTTCCTTTGAAATCCCAGTGGATTAGAATCTTCATTCATAATTAGAGG